GAATTTACATTATAAACTAACTACTATAGAAAAATTATATTTAGACTAGAGATGAGCAATCTAGAGTTGTTAATAGAGTATTCCAAACTATAATAAAACATATAAATCAGCATACCGAAAAATCAATTACAATTAATTTTGTTCATACGTCATGCAATTCTTTATTATACCGCGTAGAGCGTTGTATACATACTTTGTGACATAATTTTTTAAACAGTGAAAATAGTAATTAGGGAAAAGGGTCTAAATGCTATACTATATATAAAGTTGTTGTATACGTAGTAATTTAACTTTTTATGCGACAATTACTTTCCCGTCCCTAATTCCGACCATTTCTAATATTAAATCGCTATTTTTTATACCCTTTAACCGTGTTTTACCTTCTTATAACTTCGCTTCAAAATCTTATTTAAACCATTTTAAATGATTCAAGTTTTTTCATGTCAAGATTAGTATTTTAAATTTATGATTTAAAAAAGATTTTCACCATTTTTTCTACTAACACCAATAATTAGTCAGATCCGAAACCAATTTAAAATTGAATTTCAAGCATTGGACTAAGAAAATGATGCATTTTTAGGGGGGTGTTTGCATCTAGAACGGGTTGCACTTAGAGCATTTAAATTGAATTTACGAAACTAATCGATTACGTAGAACCGACCTGGACCAAAGCTTTACTTAAACAAAAAAAGGATAAAATTTGTTTTTTTCTGGTATAATACTATGTATATACGTAGTATACATACAATGAGTGGCTACGTACAACTTAGATAATTTTTGAAACGCTTAACCAGTAATAATCGTCGTACGTAAACATTTTATGAGCTTGTTTTGGAAACAAATAAAAGTACATATATAAATATGTATACACAACTTTACGTTAGCTCATCAAAATTTTATTTTTATTCCTGACAGTTAAAATGTCGGGACTCACTCTATATATTATTTTTGCTTCGTTTGCCGCTGTTCTCGGCTCTTTTCAATATGGATATCACGTAATGAAATCTATTAGTTTTTCATTATTTTATTTTTTGTATGTAAAAAAAGAAAAATATTCTTTAAACAGTATTATTATTTATAGATTGGTGAACTGAACACCCCTCAAGCTGTAATGTCATGTGAGGGAATTGTAAACCCCAACACTCAGGGATTTCTTCCACCTTGCATAAAGATGAATGCGGCACAATTTGCTTTTGTAACCTCCGTGTTTACCTTGGGAGGTCTTCTTGGGTCATTGTTTGCTTCACGCGTCGCGGATAGTAGAGGGAGACGAGTAACATTGATTTTGAACGGTGTGTTTTTGGGTCTTGGACCATTGGTTATGGGATTTGCTCCAAATATAACTGCTTTGGTCGTTGGAAGGGTTCTTGCCGGTATTGGTTCTGGAGTGGTAGATTCTTTTATAATATATTTATTAATTGATTTATTGATAAAAACTAAATGGTTTATTTAATTAAACGCAATTTTATTCTGATATATTGTACAAAGGTAACGGTGGTTGTTCCCACATATCTTGCCGAAATATCTACCGTAGAGCTTCGTGGAACCTTTGGTATGTTAATCATTATAATAATTACGAAGATTTTTAATAATCACTTAATAATGATATCAATAATATTGTTAGGTGTAATGAATCAATTGGGTATTGTTTGCGGCATATTGTTTTCCCAGGTCGAAGGTCTTTATCTTTCCACACTTTCGGGTTGGCGTCTAATTCTTTTTGGTGGGTTTATATTGGCACTTGTTCAAACAATTTTCCTTTCGTTTTCTGTCGAATCACCTCGTTTCCTTGCATCTAAACCCGGTGGGTACAATGCGGCTAAGCGAGCCCTAGAAAAATTAAGGGGAAGCAATGAAGTAGAAGAAGAACTTAATGGATGGCGACAAGTGGCATCAGAGGAAGGATTAGAAGGTCTCATAACAGACGAAGAACGTGAACACCAGAGTAATGAAGAAGAAATGGTTATAGAATCACCCGCGGTCGTCTTTCATGCGCGTAATTCAGATGAAAACTTTAATGTGTGGAAACTTGTAAAAAATTTACAATATTTACCAGCATTGAAAGTTTTAGTACTCCTGCACCTAACGCAGCAATTATCTGGAGTAAATGGAGTAATGTTTTATTCAACATCTATTTTAGCAAAGATACTTCCAGGCATGAGCGAATTAGTAACGGTTTTTATAAGTATAGTGAATGTAATCATGACGGTTGTTTCGGCTTATTTAATTGACAAGTCAGGGCGCAGGACATTATTATTGTCATCAGCATTATTTATGAGTATTTCTAGTGCTATTTTAGCATTGAGCATTAATAATAATTATGGATTTCTTTCAGCTATTTCAATTATCGGATTTATTGCGTCGTTTGCCATAGGACTTGGACCAATTCCATTTTTGATAATTCCGGAAATTTTTGATACTAAAGCGGCCGCCACGGCGGCAAGTCTTGGATTAACGTTGAATTGGTCAGCTAGTTTCTTTGTCGGGTTTATATTTCCGATAGTTAATGAAATGATAGGGGGAAGTATATTTTTTATCTTTGCAGCTTATTTGTTTGTGGCTTACCTCGCTATTAAACATCTTGTACCGGAAACTAAGGCCAAAAGTGTTGAAGAAGTTTGGCATGGTTGGAGTGGAAAAGTTGCAGACTAGTAATAATTTTGCTGACAAATGTAAATGTAAAATGAAAACATTAACGAGTTGTGCATATTAGATTTTTCAAGATCGACATTTCTTACTATATTATGCAAATTATAATATATATATTATATATAAATAAAGTATAATGGTTGTGATGTGTGAAAAACCAGTCATTAAACAAAAAAAAATTTAGGGTTGAAAATTACATTTTACAAACTTACAATACATGTAATTACAAGTTTCAGTAACATGGATTTCATGTAAATTTTACACGTGATATATAGTACCAGCACTATGGAAAACTCAGCTAGCATTATTTGAACTACATATGACCCAACCAATCATATGAGCGTTTGATCACGTTTCTTACAAATTACATGAAAACTATGTTACAAAAACTTACGCAAAATTACACAAAATTACGGTAATTTTACAACCTGCCTATGCTAGAATTAGAAAACAGCTGTAGTATCAAGGAAATTTTTTACTGATTTTAATTGTCTAATTGATGTCGTAAATCGCATGAACGGAAAGTCTTCGTCTGGCTTTAGATAGTCAAAACAGCAGAGACAGTGCCCAGAGTGAATCCCTCTCTCTTGTGATCAATCACAAATTAAATTATTTATATTGGATTCAATTGTGATGGATATAATCCCTTAATATATGTGTAACATTAACGGTCTCTGCTGTTTAGACAGTCTAGCCATTAAACTTTAATTATCTGATTAGCCACATACAAAGTTCAGTTCGAAAGTTGACAGTTTATATATTTCATGAATGATACAATAGTAGTATTATTACATTTGTAATTGGAAAATGTGTACCGGTTGGTGGCGCAGACAAAAAATTCTTAAAATTCGTTAAGGTTAGGGTTAGAGTCGGGGTTAAGAGCTAGAGATGAGTAATTTTAATAGTAAAATTGTTCAACGAAAATTTTTTGTTAGAGCACAAAAGTGGTTTCTTATGCTGATTTTTGGGTTATGAGCGATTTTTGGCAGAACGAACGTCTTCTTGATTGTGTTACATTACACCTAATCTTGAAAGCTGATTCGTAGATCAGAAGAACTATGTCACCAACCTGGTACACATTTTCGAATTGCTTACATTTTGAACTCCTGATTTATCAATTAATGTTAATACTTGCATTTTAAATTATCGCTGTTTTTGAAAATGGCAAATAATTTTTTTTTTTTTTTTAGCGTACACTCGTATACTCGATCACCTTAGCACGTTGATTTAAGATCGATGCCCGATTTTATGTAATAGTTCCGAACAATTACTCGATCAACGTGCTAAGGTAATCGAGTATACCGTAAAACGCATTTACTAATTTTACCCCAGGTTTCACGATTCTGGCCAATCAGAGGACAGGATCAGGTGTAACGTGAAAAT